TGCAGTCACTCTAAGACCCTAGCACCCCAGGGGCCCCTAAGACAAACAACGGGTTCCTGGGGGACCCTGCTTGAGGGGCTCCAAAGCCCGAAGCCACGCACCTGGTTGGGAGGTGACTCGGGTGGGCCCCCTTAGGACTCTAGTTCATCCGGGGGCCGCGTTGGGAATATAAAAACCCTAGATCCCAGCCTCGCTTTAATGGCTGCAAAAGTGGCCGCGCAAAGAAACTCTTACAACCTTTTCCCGGCTGGCCAAAGACCTAATTTAGTCCTTGTGCCTTTTTGTGGATGGCGGCGGGCCGAAAAGTGACTGCAGTGTCTTCTCTGTTTCCTGTGTCTGTACACCTCACGTCCCACTGGCCCTGTGCGTCTTTGGCCTTTCTGCCTGTGCTGAGGCTTCTGGATCTTCTCGGCGAGCACAAAAGAATCCTTTTGTGTCACTGAGTCAAGCCCATGAGGCTGAAGAGCACACAGACGCAGGCTCTGTCTGCGTCTGAGTGCTCCCCGGTTTCGGGCACCAGGTAAAAAAAACAGTGAGGAAGAATGTAGGATTTGGCCGAGTCCGAGGGTTGAGGGTTTTGCGTTTAGAGCTTTATTGTAGGGTATAGTGCGTTGTAGAATTCGGTGTTCAAGTCCTAGTCACAGGGTTTAGGGTTTAGTGTTGTGCTAGTGTTTTAGGCGACTGCCCGCCTTCCTTGCCGGCCCAGCGACAGCTGCGCCGCGACTCACGTGGGCCCTCAAGACGGGCTTTGCTGCTGATGCAAGCCTCCGCTGCTGCTTCCCGCCGCTGTTTTGGGTCCCTTCTCTGGCTTGGGAAGCAGCAGCAGCAGCAGCGCCCCCAACAATGGTTCCCATGAGTGTCACAGCCTTCACGGCCTGGGTCTGAACGAAGCTGAGGGTGGTGGGGTCGGTGGTTCTGAGATCGTGCGGGAAATGAGTAGGCCACCGACGGCCTGAAGAACTCCAAAGCGCCTCACCTCTTCGCAGCGGAGTCCCAGCAGCAGCAGCAATGGCAGCAGCAGCAGCAGCAGAAGCATTTGCTGTAGTCACAGCACAGCAGCAGCAACTGCAGCAGCAACGACTGGCGGAAGACACAGCAAAGCTGTGATATGTGAGTATGCAGCAGCAGGGCCCTGCGGCCCCTTGCGACTGCGTTGGATGTCATTGAAACCATCAGCTACTGCTGCAGATGCAGCAGCAGCTGCAGCAGCTGAAAGCTAACTTGCTGCTTCCGCAGTGCTCGCCGCACTACCCAGGGGTAGGCCACTGAGCCGCTTTTGCGTATCAGCTGGCAGTCCTGAGGTGACATTCATCTGCATATCTGTATATGTAACGATTAATTAATACTGATTTACCTTTATGCAACTGCATGCAAAAGTTTGTTATTCCCGCTATCCATATTATGAGTGTATATTATTCGAAGATGAATTCGCATGCGTCTTTGTCAATATCTGTATCGGTCACATGCGCCTATCTCAATATCTGTGCAGATATTTTCTGTCCCTTTCACTCTAACTTCGCGCCGACAAGCGGCAGCAGCAATAAGTGAAAGTAATAAGAAGGCTAGCAACAAGCCGGAACAGCAAGCGGCAGGACCAGATAGCACCACCAAGCAGCAGCAGCGTGCAGGAGCAGCAAGAAGAAGTGCCGAGCAGCAGGAACTTGAAGCAAGCAGTAGCACCAAGCAGTTGTACCAAGCAAAATCACCAAGCAGCAGCACGAAGCAACAGCATCAGGCCGCAAGGCAAAGCAGCACCAGCAAGAAGCAGCCACGAGCAGCAACAATAAACAGTAGCACCGAGCAGAACCACGCCGCAGCAACAAAAAGTAGCAGCAAAAAGCAGCAACAGCAAGCAGCAGCAAAGAGCAGCAGCAACAAGGAACAGCAGCAAGCAGCAGCAGGCAGCAAGGAGCACCAGAAGCGAGCAACCACTGTACAACAGTTCGTTTGTCTACTTCCTTAGTTCAAGAAGCAATTCTTATTCTGCTGGATGCCACTCTCTGCTTTCGCCTCAACACCTGGAGCAGCTGCAGGATTCGCTGGAAGCTTCCATACGGCGAGGATCACTTTGCTGCAGCAGGTATCAGAAAGCAACCTTCATTCTGGCTCCTTGTGTCTGTTGAAGTCTGCGTTTAGCCTTTTTCTGTGCTGGCCGCGAAGCGTGGCTCACTTACTCTTCTAAAGATGTAGCTCTCGGCCAGAGGGCACGTTGTGCTGTTGCTACTACAGTTGCTGTCAAAGTCTGCGTTTATAGCTTTCCGCCAGAGGGCATGTTCTGCTGTTACTGCTGTAGTTGCTGCCAAAGTCTGTGTTTAGCCTTTTTCTGTGCTAGCCGCGAAGCGCGGCTCACTTACTCTTCTAAAGATGTAAATCTCGGCAAGAGGGCATGTTCTGCTGTTGATACTGTAATTGCTGCTGGTTGTGCTGCTGAAACTGCTTCTTCTGCAAAAGCTGCTACTGATGCCGCTGCTGCTGCAGCAGTTGCTACAGATGCTGCAAAGTGCTGCAGTTGTTAAAACTGGTGCTGTCGCTGTCAATGTTTCAGCGGAAGCTGCAATTCCAGTTGTTGTCCTTTGCTAGCTGCGCTCTCAGTCTGTGAAGCTTGGAATGCGTTGCACCTGTTGGGAAGCCTCAAAAATGCGATCAGACTCTGGTGATCCAGTGCCCCAGGCCCAAAATTGTAGGGCAATTTCTTTGGATCTAGCGCCTCTTCGTAGCCTTGTCTTTTGATTTCTATCAACTGCTGTGAAGCCAGACGGAATTAGACGAAATTGGGAACAGCAAAAACTAAGCTTCCTATCAACTGCTGTGAAGCCAGACGGAATTAGACGAAATTGGGAACAGCAAGATCTAAACTTCCTATCAACTGCTGTGAAGCCAGACGGAATTAGACGAAATGCAAGAACTAAACTTAAGACTGATGGCTGCTTTTCAACTCAACATCAGCCCGGAAGTAAAAGTATGGGACGCATTTTTTCTGTAAAGTGAACATCAGTTGCATTATTCGGTGCTCAGTTACAACTAGGAATTGGAACGAACTGGAGGCAACTTTAGTGAGCTTCACAATTGCATTTCTTGCTGCTAAGTTACAACTAGAAATGGAACGAACCAGAAGCAAATTAGTTTGAAGCCCCAAATATGGAATAGTATTACTTTCTACTCAGCTAAAAAGTGCAGACTCTTGCTTTTCAATGCTTCTTCATCTATGTGTATACATATGCGTACATCCTTTCAGATCTGTTGAAGGCAGCAACGGCTATACAAGCGTGGCCTCTTAAATCAGATTTGTGCCAAACTAGAGTCCTTTTTTTGACAGAATGTTGCGCAGAACGTGGAGAACAGTTCCTTGTGCGGTGCCGAATATGCGCTTTTTAAGGCTGTTTTGGGAGCACTCCACAAACCCTTTCACACTACAGCCCAAAAGCCAGCCGGCCACTCCTGTGGGCTAGACGTTTTTTGCGTCAAAAGTTCATGAGCCGCGCATCTTGTTTCTGCATATTACTTCGCAAAGCCAATACTCGTGTGTTACCAGCACTGCGCATCACTCACCAAGGCTTCTATCAAGTCAGTGTTGCCGCTTCTGCTGCTGTTGCGACAGCTTAATGAACTGAAGCGGCAGCCCATTCCTGCGCATATGGATGTCTCTTATGCCCAATTTCCGAATTTTCCTTTGTAGCTGCAGCAACAATAAAGGAGCAAGTAACAGCGAGCAATAACAGCAACACACAGCAGCAAGCCCTGATAGCAACACAAAACAGCAAGAAGCAGCAGCAAGGAGCAGCAGCAAATTGCAAGTAGCAGCAGCAAGATGCAGCAGACAGCAGCAGCAAATAGCATGCAGCATCAAGTAGCAGCAACCAGCGACAGAACCAAGCAGCAGCAGTAAGCAACGGCACAGAGAAGCAGGAATAGGAAGCCGCGAGGCACAGCAGCAGGCAGGAATAACATGAAGCAGCATCAGCAAGCATCAAGAGCAAACAGAAAAAGCAAGCAGCAGCAGGCGGCAGGAGCAGCAAGAAGCAGCAGACAGCAACATTACCGAGAGACAGCAGGCACCTGCAGCAGCACTCTTGCTAATGCTGCGTGGTGATGGTGCTTGGTGCTGCTGCTTGCCACTGTTGCTTCATGCTATGCCTTTTCTAGCTGAGGGATTTTTCTGCCGCTCCCTACTGCTGCTTGCTGTTACTGCTTACTGTTGTTGCTTGCTGCTTGCTGTTGCCCATCCTTGACGTTGGTTGCTCCTACTGTTTGCTGCTGCTCCCTGCTCTGACTGCTGGAGGCTACGCCCGTTGCTACTAGCTCTTGCTGCTTGCTGCTGCTTCCTTCCACTGTCACTTGATGCTGTTGCTCGCTGCTGCTACTTTTCCCTGCCCCTTTATGCTGCTGCTTGCTGCTTGCTGCCATTACTACTTCCTGCTGCTTCTCCTGCTTCCTGTTGCATACCCGTGCGGCTTATGCATGCTACTCCTACATGGCACTGCTACTGCTTCCTACCACGTGCTGCTGCTGCTGTCTGCTGCATTTCGCTACTGCTGCGTGGTGATGCTGCTCACTGCTGCTGCTTGCCACTGTTGCTTCATGCTGTACCATTTCTGGCTGCGATCTTTTGCTGCTGCTCCGTACTGCTGCTTGCTGGTGCTGTTGCTTACTGCTGCTGCTTGATTCTGCTGCTTGCTGCTGATACTTGTCTTCGATTTACCTACATTTTGCTAACTGGCTTGTTTGTTTCTTTTGTTCGTCTGGTTGCTAACTTTTGTGTTTGAACGGCATCTATATTGACTCACCCATTTCCTACTGATTACTCATGTACTGGGATCTATTTCACTTCCAATTGATCACTTCTGCATTTGTTGATCATGGCGGTTCATTTCCCAATTTTTATTTATTACTTGTCACTTGGACCGGCTTCAGAGCTGGCTTGAAAGCCCTCTCTGCTGCTGCCTACGTCTGCGTTCAATTATGAGCACCTGAAGAAGGGAAAGCTGCAAATGAGTTTCTGGGATTTGTCTGGAAAATTGATCGCTGCCGCTTTACGTTCAAGTCCTCGAGGGACCCAAGCGGAAGAGACTGAAGGTGTAAAGCAGGAGTCAGCAGAAGCCACGCGCAATCCTGTGGTGTATGTACAGCTTGACACAAAAACACGGAATCAGCAAGGACCCAACACAGGACTACGGTTTATGGAAAGCTCCACTTAGGAACAGGATGTGCCTTCAGCTGAATTGGCTGGAATTGAGCAAAAGGACAAAAACGCAGTCGAGCAAATAGAGACAAAAAGCAGCAGAGGATTAAGGAGCTCTGCACACACCCCTAACTGGAGCAATGAGATGGAGCCAAAGGCACGGATGCACAAATGTATCGTGCAGATGAAACACATATAAGAAGGCAAACGCGCGTATCAGCTAGGTACATGAAATAAAAATATGGACCTAAATAAGAGAATCCATATTCAAATGCTGTCGAGGCTGTGTGCCAGAACGACAGACTAACTAGTCCTCCGTCCGCCCCAGTCCGTCAGTTGCGTGCCTGCACGCACCGCCGGGCAGCAGCACCACCAGCATCACCGAAAACAGCAGCAGCAGCAGCAGCAGCAGCAGTAGCCACGGCCACAAGCGTAAAAACAGGAGGATCTGGCGTGAGCAAAAGGAGGCGCCTTTATGCAGACTCGTATGCACGTGCATTCTGGACACACAAAGAAGGGATACTGATGGCGACGCATGCAAATCTAAAGGTAAACACAAGTTTGCATGAATGTAGCTTCATGAAATCGACTCCTGCGAATTCTAGCGATCAAAACGCCTACGCTGATGTTGCACATAGCGTCCGTCATGGTTTCTACAACCTGGCGGAGCTTCGTTTGTTCTTCGCCGTAAACGCTGGCGTAGCCAACGGCGCCAGCGCATGCGACTGGGTTGCCGCAGTTGTCCACACAGCTGTTGTCAGTGGTGGCGTAGTTGAGCTCGTTGGTTTTGTAGCAGCTGAAGGACTTTCCCGAGGGCCCGTTGCTTTTGAAACGCGACACGGCGGGCTGGCAGAACTGCTGTTGCCCTTCCATGCACGATTTCGCGTGCAGCTTCAGGCATTCCGCGTCCAGCAGCGTCTGCAGCCCGCTGGCCGCCGCGGCGGTGGACAGCTGCGGCGCCCCGCATGCATGCGCAGGGCCCCATAACGGGCTATGCGTCACAAATACAATACTTTCTTTTCAGGGGCATGTACAGCAGAGGGACGCCTTCTCGCACACGGAAGGACTCAGTAGCTGAGTTCAGAGGCAGCTGGAACTGCAGCAGCAGCAGAAGTGCTTATGTCGCTGCTGCTGGTTGAAGCCACGCATCTGCGCTGCTGCAGCTCGTGCTGCAGCTGCTGCTGCAGCCGGCGCCGGATGTCGCTGCAGCTGCTGCTTACCCGAGAGCGCGAGTTTCCGCAGTACCTGACCTTTTCCTGCTTGATGATTGCCACCATGTCGGAGTTGCTATCGAAATAGATTGGAGAGATGTGGGTGAGCTGTCCGGAGCAGTTCATGGGGTCCCCACAGTTGGTGACGCAAGCTAGGCTGTGGGCACTGAGGTTGATGGTGGCCCCTGCGTAGCAGCGCCAGACTCCGAGGGCGCCGCTGCTCGCGGGGAAGCGCCGGGCGTAGACTGCGGGGTTTTGGCACAGAGAATCATTGCCCCCCTGGCAGAGGCTGTTGCTGAGGGCTTCGCACTTGGTGTTCAGCCGCTCCTGCAGAGTCAGTGCAAGCACCACCTGCGCACAAACGCAGGCAGGGGGGGCTGTCCGAGCCCTGGGGCGCAGCAGCAGCAGCAACAGCAGCAGCAGCAGGGCGCGCCAGAGACTGTTGCCGGACGCCCGGGGAATCTCAAGCACTAAGAGACGCTAAGAGAAATCTAGGAGAGGCCAGGCCGCATCCAGCAGCAGCTGCTGCAGCCACCGCAGCAAGCTACAGAAAGCCAAGAGAGACGCAGAACTGGCTGCGGCCGGGGGCGGAGGAGAGGGAATCAGGCGCTGGGGAGAACTGCTGAAGGCGAGCTCTGGCTGCGCAGTGTTCCGCGTCCGCGGCCAGGAATGCAGAAGCCTGTGGCTGTTTCTTCTTTTGGGGAATTAAATGAATGCAGCGGATTATTGCAGCTTTTTTTGGTGGGAATAAAATGAAAGGGAAAGGGGTTTTCGAGTGCGAGCGATGGCTCGCTCACGTTTGCTCTCTGTTCAGCTGCAGCTGCACACGCAAGACACCGCAACAAGGAGGACTTTCTGGCTTCCTGCTGGGCGTGTCTTTTAGGGACTTCCTATTTAAAAAGAAATAAAACTTACAAAAAACAATTTCATTTGCAAGGAGTAGGAAGATCAAAGCTTTGACGCGCAGCGGCGCCGCCGCTGCCGACCCAGCCTTCAGCATCGCCGCCGACGCTCCCATAATGCCTTGACAAACCTTCCCGCATGCTTCCCCATAATTGTTCGTTTCAAACTGCAACTTAACTAGAAGTATTCAGACCTAACAAAAGGTGCGACAGAAAGGCCCCACATGGGCCGCTGGCCTCCAGCTAGCCACTGGACACACAGCCTCGGGACCCAACGCCGCAAGCTGCATGCGCGAGTATCCCTCTTTCCTTCAACGTGAAGTCCAATTTCACTACGAAATAAACTTGGGAAATTCACGAAAAGCCCCTTTATGACTAGAGAGAAAACAACAAAGGGCCGCTAAGGGCCCCTCCGCCTTCTATAGTTCCTCTCTCACAATTTCGGTTCGTTTCTGGAGCCCTGCAGTTAAGGCATGGGGTGTATGTACAGCATGCACTAAACTGGCCACCGCCAGGACTTATTTGTACTGCTTATTTGTTTACTCAGTCCCTGCAGAGGAGCCTCTTTACTCCTGCTTCCTGGAGGGGTCACCTGCAGATCATTTCGCCTCATTCTCCGGCAAAAGGCCGCTGCAGGCTACTGTCCGTACACTCCGGAGACAGAAAGTGCGCCTCAAGCACAGCTTTAAGAAAAAATAAACTTGAAATCGGAGAAATAGAGGCGCCAGCCTCGCATGCAAAAGCGAGAAATATAAAAAAAGCTGCTCGGTATTCCTATTTCGAACATTTTCGGAAGCTACTGGAGCTCCCCACTTTAAAGGGGTGGAGCTGCGCCCGCAGAAACGGGCAGATGGTCTACTTAGAGGGGATGAAACTACACTTTAGAAAAGCCCATGCTGCCTGTGCACAAGGCCAGCTTTGTGGTGCAATTGCGCACCGAGCAAAGCCGAAGCTAACTAGCTAGCTAGCCGGCTAGCCAAGAACCCCTTTAGACTTTTGAAATGCGGGAGCGCAGAGGCGCTAGCCGCCCCAAAGACAGTCTCACTACTCCTGCAGACTCTTCCCAACAGCAGCTAGCTGGAGCTGGCCGTGGCTAGTTGCAGCTAGCTGGGTCTAGCTAGCGGTAGCCTCAGCTACGTAGACGCAGATCTAGCTAGCTGTGGCTAGCCACTGGAACCCCACAGTTACCTCCAGAATCCTTGGGTGAAAGTGAAATGCCTCTGTCTCCTTTTTGGCCCAAGTGTAATGACGGAAAGAGAAGAAAAGACCGCGCAGGGCTGCTGCCTGGGGTGCACAGACACTCCAACTTTCGCGCCCACGACAGCCACCCTTTTGCATGCGTCCAAAAGCCCCATTTTAAGTCCTTTCCTAAAACACAAGAAGCACTTCAATCCGAGAAGGTAGCGCCTAAACACAGAAAGCAGCTGCTAGGTAGAAAAAACAAAAAGAAAAAACGATTGCATATACTCCTCCTTTTCGTCTTTAGAGAAGAGAAAGGATAGAAAAGACAATGGAGAATATACCCTTAATCTGTGCAGCGCTGGTCACACTGTGGGGCAGCAGCAAGACCAGTGGACCACACTGGAGCATACAGGCAGACTGACCGACATAATGCAAGTAGCCGGCTGGTGATTTTCAAAAAGAACTTCCAGTTCAGGAACTTCAAGAAATATTTCGCTTTGGGAATTTGAAGTTCCTAAGCAGTTCATAGGCTCCCCGCAGTCGTCTGTGCACTCCTTGGAAGCAGCAGCAAAGTTTAGGCTTGCTGCTGCATAGCAGCGCCACTGGGGGCCCCCGGGGGCCCCCTTGGCCTCGCCCTCGAGGGCCCCTCCCGAGGCCCTGGGGGCCCCTGAAGCCACCTCCACCTTGCGGGCCACTGCGGGACGGCAAAAGTCCCCCTGAGGGGCCTCTTGGCACTTCGTCGCGAACTCCTCGAGGCATTTGCTGTCGAGGATTTTTTGAAGAGAACTCCGCAGCATGAGGCCTGTGAGCTGCGAAACGCATGCAGCCCCGAGACACGCAGCAGCAGCAGCAGCAGCAGCTCTGGGGGTCACCAGACAAAGAGACACAAACGGCACTCCAGGGACTCTACGGCCACGGAGGCGGCCACTCCAGAAGCAGCAGCAATAGCAACAACAGCGGCAATAGCAGCGGCAGCAGCAACAACAGCACCAGCAGCAGCAACAGCAGCGGCAGCAGCAACAACAGCACCAGCAGCAGCAACAGCAGCAGCAGAGTCCTGAGATTCAGGGGAGACAAGGGGGACACAACGAAGAAGGGAAGCAAAAGGAGACCGAAAGAGGCAAGCAGCAGCAGCAGCAGCAGCGGGGCCAGGCAGCAGCACAGAGAGACAGCAAAAGGGACAGCAAAAGAGAAAGATGAATCAAGGAAAGAACGATAAGAAAGCAAAAAGAAAGGAAAAAAGAAAGGGAAAGAAGAGACAATAAAGACACAAAAGGAAGGAGACAGAAAATAAGGGAAACAAAGGCGAAAGAAAACGACAAAAGAAGGAAAAAAACAAAAAGAGGCTAAAAGAGATTGAAGTGCAGACAAAAAAAGAAAACGAAAGAAGAAAAAGACGGAGACAAAAGAAAGAGCAAAAAAAAGACAAAAGAAAAGGGGAAAGAAGAGACAAAGAGAAAGGAGAAGAGGCGCACGCTTTCAGCTCAGAGACCGGCCCTAAACCCTAAACCCTAAATACTAAACAAACCCTAAACCCCAAATATTGACCCCTAAACCCTTGCAGCGTGGCCGTTGGAGCCCCCCTAGCCCCTAATTCCCAAACCCTCGGCCCTAAACCGAGCCCTGGGCCCAGCACCCTGCTCTGTGAACCCCGCCTTTCAGCTAAACCCTAAACCGTCTCCCA